CAACTGCCGGTATTGGGCCACTCTAGAGTTGAATCATTGAGCAAGGGTCGGCTAGGGCCGTGTGATGCGCAGCAAGAAATGGTACTCAACTGCCGGTACATGTTGCTCCTATGTAGAATCTTTTAGGGTGATGAGGACAAAACTTGCTTTCGAGTGTGTCCTTCCAATGTTGCGTTCGTCAGAAAACTTTACATCCGCCAAGGTCTACGCCTTTATCGTCGCGCGTCTGGATTGGGCAGAATAGTACGTCATGAGGATGATTGCATGCGTTTGAAAGTAAAACTTGTGCTTCTGGGTTGCAACAACTATCGCCAAAGTTAGCTTTTGAATTTTTAATAACATCGAGGAGAGCTTTTGAACTGTAGAATACAGGTAACTGTGGAATACAGGTAGTCGGGCCCTCATCTCCTCTTGCATGATGGTAGAGCTTATTGCTACTTTAGATACCGTCAAACATGTGAATAAGTCCTCTGCTGCTTCTAGGGAGGTGATGTCGGGTACTTCTTCAAGTCCTTGAATGTGCATTGGCGAGCCTCATCCCAAAGTGCATACTTCTCTGCCAAAGCAAAAGAGTCTGCTAGAGTTAGATCTTCTTTCATGATCAATTTTCCGAATAGCGGGTGGTCTGCTGGAAGTCCTTTTTGGAAGGCTGCTCTAGCTATCGAGTCGTTGCATCCGACTATTTTTGCCTTCTCTACTTTGAACCTCCTCACATAGTCGCGAAGCGACTCTTTTGGGTTCTTCTTGACATTGAACAAATGATCAGACTTCTTTTTGATCGAGCGATAGGATGAATATTCTTTGGTGAAAACCAAAGAAAGTTCGTAGAAATTCCGGATAGATTGTGGCGGCAGGGTGTAGAACCAATCTTGCGCCTCGCCTTGTAGAGTGGTGGCAAATATCTTGCACATGAGCTCATCGTTGTTTCGATAAAGGATCATTGCGCTTCGGTAGCGCTTTAAGTGTCTCTCCGGGTCTTCATCCCCTTTGAAAGATGTGAAATGTGGCATGCTGAACTCTCGTGGAGGCTCTGCCTGCTCGATCTCGTCCGTGAATGGTGACCTGCTTATGTTGGTCATGTTCCGTCGTAGTGCCTCGTCGGTGACCTCGTTGCGTTGGAAATCATGCAATCGCTTGGTCAAGAGTCTCTCTACTTCTTCCTGAATTTGCCTTTGTTGGGGTAGCGGAGCTCTCGGCTGCCCCCAGCCATGACTTGCTGGTCAAGGCTGCTCTTTCATGTGTTTGGCTCGTCTATGCCGCAGATGCGGTGCATGTGGTGCGTTCCTAGCAGGCGAGCGAGTTCTTCGGAGGCTGCTGGTTGAACTTGAGCTGGATTGAGTGACTGCTTCTCTCCGTCCGTCGTGCTGCCTACTCTGATGTGAGGTGGAGGACGCTCCTTGTGGGCTTAGCTGCGAATAGACACTTTGCCCGGAAGGTTGCTCATGTTGACTATCGGAGTATGACCCCAACCGTGAATGTATGCTCCTCCGTGGGCCTAGTCGAGAGTGAACGTTCCTTCGCGCTCTAAGACGGGAATGTACACTGCCCAAACGTTCGGCTCGTGGCTGGCCGAGTGGCTGCTTGCCGGGACGCTGCTGGAAATGTCCGTCTGCCCTTGTCCTACTTCGGGATACCTCGTCCGGGGCACGTTGGATCCCGATGCGTTGCAAAAGTTGATTCACCAAGGTTGTCTGTTGTGCAAGGGCGCTCGTCAACTCTATGACTTGTCGAGACAAGTGTTGTTTGCCATTTGGATTGGAAGAGCTTGGAAGGAAAGCGCCTCCTTGAGCAGTGGAAGGGTGGTAGACTCCGGGCACGAGATTTGAGTTGGGAAATGTCAAATCCACGAAAAAATATGGTGAGAATGCCCCCGGCTCGATGGTAGGTCCGGATGGTTGAGATAGTCTTGGGCCGACTTGGGTTGCTTGGAAAGCCACGGGAGCATGCTGGGCCGTAGTGGGCTGCTCGAAAGAAGCAGGCTGGACCACGGGAGTGGGTTGCTCGTCGGGAGCAGGCTGGGTCACGAGAGCAGGCTGCTTGGCAGGAGCAGGCTGGGCCACGGGAGTGGGCTGCTTGGCAGGAGCAGGCTGGGCCACCGGAATGAGCTGCTCGACGAAAGCAGGCTGGGCCATGGGAGTGGGCTGCTTGGTAGGAACAGGCTGGGCCACCGGAGTAGGCTGCTCAACGAAAGCAGGCTGGGCCACGGGAGTGGGCTGCTCGTCGGGAGCAGGCTAGGTCACAAGAGCAGGCTGCTCGGCAGGAGTAGGTTGGGCCGTGAGAGTGGGTTGCTTGACGGGAGCAGGCTGGATCACGGAAGCAGGTTGCTCAATGCGCGGTGCATGTGAATGCGAGGCTTGGGCTTGGGTCCACGTAAACTTGGATGGCACGGCTTGGATCGTGGTCTTGGTACCGTGAGCCTTGGATGGCACGGCTCGGGCCGTGGTGAAGGCTCCATGGACCTCGCCACAAGTGGCTACCGAAGTAGCCACCGCGGTGGTTCCCATGGTGGCCGTGGTGAAGGCACCATGGACCTCGCCGTGGGTGGCTACCGAGGTAGCCACCGCGGTGGTTCCCATGGTGGAAACTCGTGGTGGTGATGCCGCTCCCCTTATTGTTGCATTTTGCCTCACGGATCTCCGAGCCATGGTGAAGGCTCCATGGACCTCGCCACGAGTGGCTACCGAAGTAGCCACCGCGGTGGTTCCCATGGTGGCCGTGGTGAAGGCACCATGGACCTTGCCGCGGGTGGCTACCGAGGTAGCCACCACGGTGGTTCCCATGGTGGAAGCTCGTGATGATGATGTCGCTCCCCTTATTGTCGCATTTAGCCTCACGGATCTCCGCAATCCCATTTCTTGAACATTAGAATTTTCACTTGTGGAATTTTCTAAATTTCTAGCCATTATATTTTTGCTTATACGTTTTATCAAAGAACCTTTGCAAGTAAAAAATTCTAATAATAAGAACGTATGAAAAATATTCAAATGGACTAGAAAATAAAGAAAAAAACCTTTTTGTGCGAGAGTCTTCTACGAGTATGGATTTCAACTCTCAATGAAAGCACCAATTTGTGGATGCAAATTTTCTCCTCTTCGATCTTGGACGATTTTGCACCTACAAAACAACTAGCACCTTAGGTTAAGGCCAAAAGCCTCACGCGCCCACGATGAATGGGGGGGGCTTTGGCCGAAGAACCTCCGATGCCAAAGTTAGAATTTAGAGAGAAAGAGTGTTTAGAGAATTTTGGGATTTTTGCCAAAGTGTTGGAATTAGCTTTTTTGGTGAGAATGAAAGTATATTTATAGGGATAGGAGGTGGCTAGGGTTTTTTGGGTTTTTGTTCATGATTGATGGTAATTTTAGGAGTTATATAGTTAATTGACTAATTAATTTGGCTAAATAGAATTATTGCCAAATTAATTAGCTAATTAGTGGGATGAAATGGGCAAATATGGAGAGATCCACTAGGATGGCCGACCATTTGGGAGTTTTGGGGTTAAATGGATGACTTTCAATTAACAATTAATATATTATTTAGGTAAATATATTAATTGGTTGAGGATGTTATGGAATGTTTGAATAAATGGCTAATTGAATAAGGAAAAAATGAGGTAAAAACATATATGAAATAAAATAGGTTTTGAATTGTTACCCATTTTGGGTACTCCTGACTTGGTTGATGGATGATTCTCCACTGCTTGCGTGTAGGAAAACCGGTATGCCTCGAGGGTATTTTTGTCCTCTTTTGTCCAAAGTCCACGTGTCGCCTAGTGAATATTTTTGGCTCCACAGTCGTACATTTGGTACATCCATCTTTGCAGGCACATTCGCAGCTAAAATATGTGATCTTATCACTCGCGCTAGATCGATAGAAGCATTTGGCATACTCTGAGCTATGCTCTGAATATCTAATATGTATTGCACTTCAGTTTCAGATTGAGCGATGCGAGGATCTAAATAAGATAAAGCTATCTAAAATGACCAAAACGAGCATGATTGTTCCTTATCACCATGTTTGAGTAAATTGTAGTAATGATCCCTTAACTTTAACTCAATTAGAACAATGGTCATTCAACTAAAAATTCATTATCATTGATTCCTGGATGACTATCACAAACCATTTATATGTATCAATACATAATAATGCAAAAATCTTAATTTTAATTATATTGAATAAATTCGATTCTACAACTTATATTTACGTAGGAAACAAAACTTAACAAAAACCAATTTGAAACACGGATTATAAACATAAAAACTTAATCGCCCAGCGTGTTCATGATCAGATGAACAAAAACTCAGTAAAATTTTTCAGGCGCCATTTCAGTAAAATTAACAAAAACCCATATACCCAGATGAGGTAGAAGCCTAAATCCATAACCATAAACCATTTCCAGTAAAATTAACAAAAAAACCATAAACCCTGATGATGTAGAAACATAAATCCATAAACCATTTCCAGTAAAATTAACAAAAAAAACCATAAACCCAGATGATGTAGAAACCTAAATCCATAAACAATTTCCAGTAAAATTAACAAAAACCAATTAATCCAGACGATGTGGAGTGAAATTTCGAACGAGATGAAAAGGGAGAGTTCGAACGGAAAGAGAGCTGAAGAGCGCGAGTGTAGAGAGAGCTTGAGCGCGCGAGCGGAGAGAGATGTGGAGGGTGGGAGCGGCGAGAGAGATTGGCGGAGGAGAGTGAACGCGTTAGGTAGGAGAAAGAGAGGGTAGGATTGTCATGATAAACGTTTCATTAATACCCGCCTAATGTAAAAAATAAAAAAGCGCTATTTTCAATTTTTCAGAAGTAAGGATATTGCTACTTCTAATTTTTACTGTTTTGGATTTATAATTTGAATTATTTACCGAACACAATTAAGATCTTAACTTTTTTTTAAGTTGTTTTTAAAAATATTTAAGCCTTCTCCAACCTAAGGCTAAAACTCAAATTTCCATTTCTATTCTCCCTCAAAACTCAACCAACCTAGGGGTGGGCAAACGGGTACAGGAACCGCGGGTCGGGGCGGGTAATTAAGGTTCGGGGCGGGTACGGGCCGGTTCCAATTATTTAATAGGGGAAACGGGGCGGGCCGGGCCGGGCCCTTGATATTTTAGGGGCGGGCCGGTTCCAAATGTATAGAAAAACGAGGCCCCGGACCGACCCGTTTTTAGACCAAATGGACGGACGAGATTGAAAAGGAACATAACGTCCAATCTTCACCGTTGATTTTACCCTAGTCCACTCTCTTTCTCTCCTCTCTGATCGACTTCGACTCCTCTGAATCTGTCTTCTTCGGTTCTTCCGCTCTTCCGCAGCTCCGCTGTTCCGTCTTCGACCCTCTCCGTCTCTCGCCGTCATGCTCTGCCGTCTGTGACTCAAGTCACTCAACTGTCTCTCCTCTCTGATCGAGTATTCTTCGATTCTTCTCCTCGACGACATCGGACATCCTACCCAGACTTAGAGAACCCAGGCACCCGCGGTCCCATACCACCCATCTTCTCGTTCTCCTTCTTTCGTCCCCAACGACATTACCGCCGTCGCGATCACGAACACTCCATCGCCGCCGCCAGTTCAGGTGAATTCTTTACTGTTTGCTGAATTCTTCTATTTTTTGTGTTCTTTGGTATATATTTTGGGGAAGAATTGTTAATTGTGTGGATTTTGGACCAATTTGGTAATTGTTTATCTAATTGGTGATCTGGGTTCTTCGGGATTTTGCAGGTGGCTCGGGCTTCCGTATTCTCCTTTCCTTTGGACTCGTATACGGAAGCATCTTCTCAACTGCTCAAGTATCTCCAGACTCCAGGTACCTCGTTTCCTGTTTTTTTTTATTTCAATTGACGCACCTTTTTATTTTATGAGATAAATTTGTTTTTTTTATTACAAATTTGTATTGGGTTGGTTTAAATTTGTTCTTTGTATGATTCCTTGTTCTGATGTCTTCTGATTGAGGTGGTATGAGGCTGTGCAGCTGCTGTGCTGCTGTGTTTTTTTCTTTTCTTCGTAATGATTTTATTAAAAGGAGATTTTTAAATGACTGATGTTGTGGGGGTTCTGTGAGTGTGAGTCGATAAGTTTTTATAATTTGATTGGGGAATTTAGTTGCTTCAGATCTGTTTGCCATTTGAAAAATTGGGTATTGAATATTAAAATGGTGTGTTTTGTTTTGTTCTCTTCCATTAGGTAGTCCGAGAGCAGAGAGGGATGCAGTCCGAGACGGAGCAGGTGCCACCAGAGTCGGAGAGTCGAAAAGCATGGAGGTGTTGCTTGTGAGGGTGTTGGCCATGGTGAGAAACGTGGCGGTGCCGGCGCGGGGCTCGGTGGAGAAGCTGTGGTGCGACGACGAAGGCAGCATGGCGGTAGTTCTGGAGTCTGGAGTCCTTTCCGTAGCGGTTTCACAAAAAAAAAAAAAAAAAAAAAACGAAGGACCGGTGGACCCAGCCCGGACCGGCCCGTTTCAAACGGGCCGGGTTCGGTCCGATTCCTGTAATGAAATATGATGTACCCGACTCGGCCCGGCCCGTTTCTTTTAATCTCCGGTTCCTTGAAAATTAGGTCCGGCCCGGCCCGTGCCCAGCCCTAAACCAACCCAAGGCTAAAATGTGGCATAAAACCTAAAACTCAAATGGAAGCCAAATTTAGCCCATGATTAGTGGAGCTGGCCCACTATATATGCATATTTGATTTAATTTTATATTTATAAATTGAATCCAACGTTTAAGATCTAATTTGATGAAATTCAACAGTAAAAGAAAAAAATTAACGGTCCAAATTTAACTCTAACGGCTAAAGTAATTAAAAAACAATCTTTCATTTGTTTCATATTTTTTCATAGTGTTTAACGAGTTTCATGGTGTCGATTAGTGATTTTTCAGTATTTGTCAGAATCTAAATATTTTTAGGTTAATATGTTCATAAAATTAAATTAGGATAGTCTACATCATTTTTTTATTTTAAAAAAGTTACTTTAAGAAAAAAAATTAGTCTAAATTCATTCTTTAATAATTTGGGGCTAAAATTTTAGGTCAGAATGATTGGAGCAGAAAAGTTGTTTTTGAGTTAAAACCTAAATTTTCTGGGCTAAAAATTTTAAGTTTTAGGCTAAGGGTTGGAGATGGTCATGAACAATCCCAAACTAACCCTCAATTAGTTTATTTAGTACTTAAAACTACTGAAATATGGAATCAAAATGTTATGTACGTCATTAAAAGCAAGAATTCCCGAGAAACACAACTGTTTTTTTTTTAACACACTACTACACAAAGGACATAACCACACAGCGGATACAAGCTGTGTTTATTGGTAGAAACCAAAAAAGCAAACAAAAAAATATGAAAAACTAGTGATGAAAATTAATGCCACTTTCGTAGGGAACTCGATTGCATTGAGCATATGCAACAAGCCTTTTAAACCCAAAGGTGACCCTAATGGGACGAGTAAAGTCTCGTGAGGGTTTCCAGAGATGTTACCCACAAATATCATGTGATAGTTATGATCATTTACGCTCAACGGCTGTAAAGAGATCCTTTCCGTCATGGTCCGGGGTCGGATTGATTGCGCAGGGGACTTCGTATGGAACACCGTCAACCGTGTCTGGAATTACATAGAGCTTGCTGTACACATGGATAAATCGGAATTTGTCGCCGTCTGATATATCCTGGAACAATGTGCATTTTTCATCATCCGGGTTATTGTTTGTTTCGGGAGCGGTGGCCGTGATCTGTATAGTTGTCTTTCCTTGTTTTGTAGCCTTCACCCCTTCCAAGTATAATTTGGTTTCAGAAAGCATGATATTCACAAGTCCAGACTTCTTTGGATCCTTCACTATGGAAAACGTGTTAAGATCTTCCTCTGTGAATGCGAGAATCCCCTCTTGTTTGCGTCTCAAGTACTTAGAGGAGTAAGATCTCCACGCAAAACTGTCTGGTAGTTGTGCTGCCATGTTAAATGGGGATGATCACGCTCACTTGTCTCTTTTTTATTTTATTTTTTCTTTTCTCTCTTCCCTCTTCTCTCTTTCTCGGGTGATTTACTTGCTCCATAGCTTCGAACCTGCTACCCTATTTATAATCAAGGATAAGCCCACACCATCTTTCTCTCTTCACATTATGTGTTCATACTAAGGTGGTTTTATTTTTATTTTTCTTCCAGCAAAATAATGCAATATTTCACTAGTTTTAAGCGTTTAATTAATATACAAGTCTCCTGCTCCTAGTGTTATTATCTCATATTTTGTTTAGGATATTGAGACTTGTAATGGTTGTCTATATTGATTGGATTAAAGGCAATTTGGAGTTGCCTAGTATCTTATAAGTCATTGCAAGGTTTTTCTTTCACCAATGTGAGACTCTTCCACCATATATAAAGCTAATTGGCAATATAGGAAGTCACCTAACATCTTACAAGTACTTACAAGATTTTTTTTTCACTAATATGAGATTCTTTTACTTTCACGTTTTCACAAATAAGTAGTTGTATGATTGAGGTTGGTAATTTATATTTCATGAGGTATATGTAATTGGGATGTTTCCAAAAACTGAGTTGTTTAACTGGCTAAAGTCATTGGACTGACGCCAGATTTGATTGAATAGCAGATGTCATAGTAGGGCTTTAACTAATGCAGGGACAATGCCAGGTCACGGAAAGGAACAATGTCGATGGAAAATGAACTCTTTTGATTTTCATACACGTGGAAGTCATGGATTGACAAAGTGTCGTATGAACACAAAAACATATTTAAGCGCTCAATCAGTTATTTGTTGGTTGTGAGAGTCTTTCCACAACAAGAGTATGTAAAACCAGTACTTACCTACTCCGCTTTGATTACAGCTTGATTTACCAGCAGTACTTAACTACTATTAAATTTGCATTCCTGTTTATGCATTTCGTATATATAGCCCTCCTCTAATGGTGCTTTGGATACTGTTTTGGCCATCCATGTCTTTCGGATCACCCCAAAAATTTACTTGCATTGTCTTTGTTCTTTTACATTTTATTTGATTAAAGTTCAACCATTCACAAAACGTGCATAAGCTAGTTAATGATCACACATTCTCTGTTTGGGTTGTTTCACCATTAGGCCTTTTTTTAATTTTTGCACCTTTCTCACAAAATGACTTTGTTCTATGATTATTGTACTTACTCTTCATACGAGCACCTAGATACTAATTAACGGTAATATATTGGACACAAAACAGTTCCATTGTCCGAGGCTCTCAAGTGTCCGATTGAAGCATAAAACATATTGCAAGAGCAGCTTGAGGTATGTTCCTTTGCTATCGTGCACCTAAACCCGAGCGTAGTGACCAAATAATATTCTAGCTTTTACTTGTGAGGATACGAAAGGCAAAGTCCCACATCGAAAGTTTAATAAACCTTGCAATTACTTTGAGGGCAACTTCCCACTTTTAATTGGTTTTAGGATAAAACCTTAACAATCATATGCCCATCTTCTAATCATTATCGCCACTTTTTAAAATAGGTTCAAAAGAAGTTGCAGATGAAGCTCAAGAGAAGTTGCTAAATGCTAATATATTATACATGTTACCAAAAAGAGAAAAAATGGCTTTAATTAGTTGTGTACCTTTTTTTTTTTTTTTTTGAAAGGAATACAATAATTTTATTGATCAAACACAATGAGAATACATATCATGGTAGAGAAGTTCTTTAATGACATCAGGGGGTTCCCAAACCAGATTACTAAATCATCACCAATCAAACTTGATTTGGTTAGGCGATGAGCGACACCATTACATTTACGGGGAATATAAGATATTTTACACTCCAATAACCTAGTCATCAGCTCCCAAAAATCAGTAACTAAGAAACTGATGCTAGAGAGGTCTGTGACAGAATGCAATATCGTTTATTATTCCGAGTTTTATTTATTTACACCCCTTCTCCTATTTAAGTTCACTCACATCTCTATCTAAACTTCATCTAAACAAATGCAAGTTTGGTACACACATAAAGCAGGAGCAGGTGTTGTAGGTATCAAATGACATCTGGCTTGTTAAGCTGGTATGATATGGATTATTGATTTATGGTCTCCTTGAAAGAATAATTTATCTATAATTTGTGGACTTCCCCCTCTTATCTCTTCCTTCTCCGAGCTCGGGTTATGAAAGAAGGAGAAGAACCCGAGAATACTCTCTGACAAAATTGACGCTTCGCGTGGGCTCTTTATTATTACTCCTATTCTTGAGGGGATGAACTTTACTTGATGAAGGGTTGGTTTAGTATTGCTGTGCTTTGATGAAAAACTGCTTCTGTTGTGTTATGAGAATAAGCTTATTTCTGCTGCTTCATGTTTTCATCTTTTTTTCATCCAAAAATATGAAAATAAGTTGTTTTTAAGTGTTTACCAAACACTTTTTTGAGTTCAGCTTTTTTTGATACCTACTTTTTATAAAAGTACCTTAGTACCAAACCAGTACGAAGACTGATCAAACTGCTTCAGGTCGCCAAAGCTTCTCAGTTGTCACAGTACTCTAATCATTCTTAAGAAACGGTTAATTAACATTAATTTGCATGCATCAAATAATGTGCATATCATTGACTAACTGCATATCATTGTTCTTACAGCTAGCTAATGTGAGGAATTTTTATTCCTTTTCGATTTTCATACATTTAGAATGCATGTGCATGGATTGACATCGCAGTTTGTACACGAAGACACATTCAAGCACTCAAACATCCATTTATTGGTTGTGAAAATCTTTCTTCGAACGGGTGAAAGGATCATGAAAAGTTCAATTTTAGTTGTTATGAGAAACCATCACACCTGAGCCAAAAAATTTTACATTATAAATACCCCTCCCATTTTTATACATTATTTGAAATTCTTGAAATTGGCTAAGGAAGTTTATAACCGACTACCCAATCACCCCTTAGGCCGTCAACAATGGTTTAAGTGAGATTGTCAATTAGATAATCAGGCCTCATGAGTTTTATTTGAATGACACTACTATCATAATTATGTGAGTTCGATACGAGTTTTATATGTTAAATATGGGATCTGTTTTTATTTTTTTTTCTGTTTCCCCATTATATGATTGGTCACTTCTTTTCTCTCTCTTGTCATTTATTGCATTGGTATCACACTCATGAGTTCAGTATATCGAACTCAAAAGTAAAAATCACTCTCATCGCACTCAGATTTTCCGGTCTACTGTGGAGTTTAATTCCTATATTACTGGTATCTCAATTCTCCGACCCATTGTGGAAGGCCTTACAATCTTTGACACAAACAGTTTGTGTTGTAAAAACTAAAAACTATATATGTGGCATAACACACATGAAATACAGTGAAACTAAAATACTTAAAAACAAAAAAATAAGAAAAAACTAGTGATGAGTACTAATGCCACTTTTGCAGGGAACTAGATTGCATTAACGATATGCAACAAGCCTTATAAACTCATGGGTTACCCTGATGGGAAGAGTGAAGTCTCGTGAGGATTTTTAGAGACGTTATCCACTAACATCATATAATAGTTATGATCATCAACGTCCAAGGGCTGTAAGGAGATCCACTACTCTAGGGTTGTCAGGGACTGGACTGATTGTGTAGAAGACTGCGTCATAACATCTAAAAGTATGGCGTTAAATAGATGGTGCTTTGCACATGGCGCATTTGGAAGACTAATTGTGGAAAATGAACAGTGCAAATTGATTCTAAAAAATCAAACGGTAAATATTGTTTAAAAAGAGGGACTACTTGATAAGTTGAAATACCGAAAACAAATCCTATGCAATGCAAGTAGAATAGCTTCTATTGGTTATTAAGGATTTGGATCCTCGCTGGATCCCCTCCTTGGGAATCTAAGGATTAACGCATGTGGACCATTGATCAAAAATCGTGCGGCCCCAATTAAATGTTTTTTATATTTTTAAAAGTAAAGTAATCTCGTTTTGCGTAAAAATATAAAAAAAAAAAAATTATGACCGCACGATTTTTTATCAACAGTCCACGTACGTTGATCCCTAGGATCCAAAGGGAGGGAATCCGGCGAGGATCCAAATCCGGTCATTAATTCATCTCTCTGTCCTTCCACAAAATAACTAATAAAATATTTATGATGTATACATGTATTTGGATGTTTTGAACGAGAGATTTTTCAATGTGACCTGTACACGAAATGGTACACTACGTGTCACTGTATAAAAGGTGGGATATACGCGCTAAAAAGTTAATAACTTAAAAAATAAAATTTTCCACCACGTCTAGAAAAACATGTGGTGTACCATCCGTGTTTACGTCACAACTAAAAAAAATCTCATTTTCAACAATTAAGTTGTTGGGTAAACTGTCGGTTTACCCCCTGAACTTTCACCTCACTTTCGATTTCCCCCCTGAACTTTTCTATTGGAAAATTAAGGACTCAAACTAATTTTTTTAGCCAATTTGCCCCCTACCGTTAGTTTTTCATATATTCCATCCATATTTCCGTTAAGCGAGACCATGTGCATAACATGTGAGGATAGTCAAGTCATTTCACTCTTAAAAATGATTAAAAACTGAAAATAAATAATAATAAAAATTTTCCCTCTATTTTTTCCTGCTAATTCCTATCCTCAATTTTATTTTTCCCTCCCATTTCTTATATTAATGTACTGCTTTGGAGACAATAACACCATGAGCATTTGTCAAATTATTAATTTGTTAGAGAAAATAAAAATGGTAGACAATAACACCATATGTCATTTCTCATGCATAAGAATGGGAGGGAAAAATAAAATCGATGATAGGAATTAGCGGGAAAAAATAGAGGGAAAGTTTTGCTTTTTTTTTTTTTTCAGTTTTTTAATCATTTTTAAGAGTGAAATAACTTAACTACCCTCACATGTTGTGCACATGGTCTCACTTAACGAAAATATGGATGTAATATATGAAAAACTAACGGTAGGGGGCAAATTGGCTAAAAAAATTAGTTTGAGTCCTTAATTTTCCAATAGAAAAGTTCAGGGGGGAAATCGAAAGTGAGGTGAAAGTTCAGGGGGTAAACCGACAGTTTACTCTTAAGTTGTTTAATTAGCTGAAGTCATCGGATTGACGCCATATTTGATTGAATAGCTGAACTCATTGCAGGGCTTTAATTAATGTGGGGACAATGGTAGGTAACTGAAAGAAACACTTAATCAGTCACTTGTTGATTGTGAGAATCTTTCTAAAATTGAGTAAAACAGATAATGAAATGTTTAGTTTTAATGGTATTAAAGCACTGATCCAACACCCGAGCAAAGAGTTTCGAAAATTCCCCTCCCATTTTGGCCTCCATTCCAAAGAAAAGAAACAAAGTAGAGATTTGCTGAAACAATCAAAATTTGCCAAATTCACTTGAAAATTATTTGAATTCATGGAATTGGCTTAGTGAGCTTTGAACTTAGTCAAGAGCTTGAGCATTCCCCTCCTCCATGCCAAGAGTTTGAACACTCCCCTCCCGTCTTGGCCTACTTTTAGAGAAAATTAAGAAAAAAAATGTAAAGTTGTAAAAGTAAGGGGTTTTTATTTTATATTTCTTTCAGCAAAATAATGCAATTTTTCACCAGGTCTAAGTGTTTAATTAATATAGAAGAGTCGCAGTGTTGTTATCTCATATGTTGTTTAGGATTGAGTCTACTCCTAGAGTGTTCACATGTACCCAAATCCTTTGTTTCAAAGAGCATTTACATAAAATTGCGATGTTTTCAACAACTAAGTTGTTCAATTAGCTAAAGTCATTGGGTTGGGATTTGATTGAATAGCTGATCTCGCTGCAGGGTATTAACAAATGTGGGGACAATGCCAGGTAATTGAAAGAAACAATGTGGAAAATGAACTCTTTTAATTTTTCTACATGTGAAATTCATAAATTGATCGTGTCGTATGTACAGGAACACACATTCAAATGCTCAATTAGTCATTTCTCGTTTGTAAGAATCTTTCCACAACAGGGTATGCGAAACAAGAACTTATCAGCTCCGCTTGGATTACAGCTTCGTTTTCCAGTACTTAACTACTATTAAAATGGATGTTTTGTTATAGGCACCACGTCATTGGATTTTTTTCTCTATTAAAAATGCGTTTTGATATAGGCACCTCGTCTTTGTATTCCTATTTATGCAATTCGCATACATAGCCCTCCTCTAGTGGTGCTTTGGATACTATTGTTGCCATCCATGCCTTTCGGATCACCCTGAAAATTTACTTGCTATTGTCTTCGGTCTTTTACATTTTATTTGATTAAAGTTTGTTGATGCACAAAATTGGATCGATCTTAGAACAAAGTAAATCGGATTGTGAATCATACATATGGCCCATCTGCTAATTGTTGTCCCTACTTTTTTGAACAAGCGATATTATCTACACTAAAAGGGAGGGGTGGGCTTAGCTTCACAATGAGTAGTGTAGAATTTTTCAGGTCAACAGGCCGAGGGCCCACTCCAACAACACCGATACTGTCCCCACTTTACCACCTACCCAACCATCAGGTGTGGGGTTTTATCACAAAAGGCCTCGATTTAATTAGAGCGGGGTAATTCTATATAAATTGCTCTTTCTTCTTCCCTTTGTCCGATGTGGGACAAATTAAATTCCAACACTCCCCCGCACGTGAGACTAGGGCTGGAAAAAAATCCCAAAAATCCCAAACCAAACCAAAAAAATCCCGATCCCAAACCAAAAAAATCCCAAACCAAAATTCCCGAAAGTTTCAGGATGTAATCCCAAACCAAACCGAAAGTTTCGGTATTGGATTCGGTATTGCATTTCATTTTTTCGGTATTCCCATACCGAACCGAAACAAAAAATATATATATATATATATAATTTTTTAATTATAAGAGAATTATTTCAACCGTTGATTGTTTTGGATTTAATCTGTGCCGTTGATTTGTTTTTAGGTCAGATAACATTTCACTTTTGTAGTTCCTCCGTTCATTTGTTTCGAAGCGCAGCCGTGAGCCTTCGGCCCTCACCAACGTCGTCTCTCACCATACTGTCGAATTCAGACCAGCCACCGGCCCACCACCACACCATACACTCGTCTCTGACTCTCCAGCCTTCCTTCACCACACAACCACCGCTCTCTCTCGCGATCTCTCTCTCTAGGGCGATTGTCTTTCACGGACAAGTTAGGTCACAGAACTGGGGATCTCTCTCACGGTCTCACCACCACACCGAGTCTGAGTCTCACTCTCACCCCAAATTAGGTAATTAATTTAGTTTTATGAAATCTCTCTATCTCATCGTCACACACACACCTCTCCCTCTCTCTCTTTTCTTTTGCGATTTTGTCTCTTCATCTGGGATCGTCTTTGAAATGATAATATATATTTGTCATTTGCATGTTAGTATATATTCGTCATTTGAAATGATAGTATGTATTCTCTCTGTAATATGAACAATCCTCTGTAATATGAAATGATTGCATATTCTCTGAAAGAATTTTTCGAATTGGGTAGAAAAAAATACCAATTACATATGTAATAAGTGTTTTTGCTTCTATGATTGATGCAGGGTTAAGACCAACAAATTAGTGTGTGTGTGTGTGTATCTAGTGTGTCAGTGTGTGTGTGTGTATAATTTCTAATTTCAATTGGGTAAATGGTTAAAAACATCAGTAGCCAATCCGAAGAGTATTTGGGAAAGAAGTAAACTTTGAACTTACTATAGGCATTGAGATTTTACTTTGACCCACTTGGTTTGGTGAATTCGGCTCAATCAAAACCAGAATGTAGTGCCATTGGTGTTGTTGGAACCCCCAGTCCCACATCGGACAGAGGGAGAAGAGAAGAGTGCTTTAAATAGAAATACCCCTCTCTAACTAACATCGAGGCCTTTTGTTATAAAACCCCACACCTGAGGATTGTGCAGGTGGTTAAGTGGGGACAGTATCGGTGTTGTTATAGTGGGCCCTCGGCCCATCGACCTGAAAATTTCCACATGGTATCAGAGCCAGGAGGCGGGCCCGTACTGCCACGTGATTAGGTGGGTCCCCGTTGGCCCCGCGTGATTGTCCACGTAGGCCAAAGATGCCACGTGTTTGGGTGGGTCCCCATTGGCCCCACGTGATTGGGTGAGTCCCGACATGGCTCCACGTGGTTGCCGATGTGTGGAAATTCACGTGTGACCCATAAGTGGGGTCTCACGTGCGGGGGAGTGTTGGAACCCCCAGTCCCACATCGGACAGAGGGAGAAGAGAAGAGTGCTTTAAATAGAAATACCCATCTCTAACTAACATCGAGGCCTTTTGTGATAAAACCCCACACCTAAGGATTGTGCAGGTGGTTAAGTGGGGACAATATCGGTGTTGTTAGAGTGGGCCCTCGACCCGTCGACCTGAAAATTTCCACAGGTGTATTGTCTGTTCTATCATTCCACAAGTGAGATGCTGGAAGCCACTCCAAACGGTATATTCTCGGGGAGATGATATGATTGTGGAAATGGCCGCACTCACACACTTTTTAGTTGACGTTTGACAATGAGTGAACATAAACCTTCAGGACTTAAAGCCTTAACACATCTTATCAAATATGTTGACAAATCTGTAAGTTGTGTGATGGCGAGGAGTGGGCGTAGGAAACTCGGTTGGAGGCCGCGTCACTGAGCACAATCATGTATTCCTTCCTTATCATTGTGTTTTTTATTGCTTCCTCTCTCCATGGTTTTCACAAACTGTTCATGATGTTTTGCATTATCTCCCTAATATTACAACATTTGTATGCATTAGAGCTACCCTTTGCTTCTTAATCATCACGTCTTCAAGACGAGATGATGATTAGTGGGTTAGATTTTACTTTGAACTTACTATAGGCATTGTGTATTTGGGATGTAAATAGAATTGAGTTAGTAAATTATCATACGGTCTTCTATCTGTTCTTGAATCTTATTTACACTTGCAGCTTAAGCTCTCTTGCTACAACTTTATAGTTATCTTACCGCTAATTTTTTGGGTTTTTGGGAAACTACATATGACCTATTATTGTTTGCCGTTGTTTTAATAACTATGAACCCAATAGACCTGCATGTTAGTTGTTTTAATAACTAGAAGTCCTAGAAAACTGTCCGTAAGACCACAACAGACCACAACAGACCTGCATGATGAGTATTCCATGAAGCATGTTAAGCATTGTATCCATATTGGTTTGAAAACACAATATATGTTAAGCATGTTAGTCTACTATGATTCTCTACTAATTATTTTCTTGAATTATTATTCTTCAGGTTGTTTTTCTTGAATCATTTATTCTCGAGCAGCTTTTAAAGGTTTAGCATACAAGCGCTATAAGTAAGTGTTGAAAACTCTTGTTTGTAGGTTCTAACTTTCATGTTTGTATTATCGTTGTGGGGGTGGGGCTACTTATATTCTCCTAGTTTAGAAACAAGCTGGTTTTTATTTATGTGCATCTGCTCAGATTTTTGAGAATCTGCTCAGATTGTGTGGGGGTGGGGCTAGTTATATCTTTGTGAGAATCTGCTCAGATTTTTGAACCATTGATTTTATTTATTGTTTGGAATTTGGATATATGTTGAACTGTGGTTGTGATATATTAATGTACATTGTTATTTTATTTGTTAGGATGGACGGATCTAGTAGCCAATCTAGTACACATATGGTCTCGGTATTAGGAAAACGAAAACAAACCCAACCTAGTGGTACCCTTCAACTAGGCACTCCCTCACCTCAAGATTATTTGCATAATGATTATTATGAAGATTGTTGGGATGATGATCCGGATGTGGAGGAGGATATTGCATTAGAACAAATAGAAGAATAGGGGGAAGAGGGGGAAGAGGAAGTAGAAGAAGTAGAAGTAGTGAGACAATGGGATGGTCCTCCTCGGAAAAAGGGCAATAGGAGAAAGGGTCCAAGTCCGGTGTGGAATGATGCTAAGAGGGTAACGATCACCGATAATAATGGGGAGAAATCTTACATGGCCGAATGCAAGTATTGCAAACTCTTAGTACCGGCACACCCTATAACTCATGGGACAACGGGAATTCTTAAGCATTTGAGGAAATGCCCGGGTTCTAGTCTTTTTGAGAATGTGGATCCGAACCAACCTACATTGACACAAGTGAGGATGGGATGTCCGGTTGTCACTCACACTTTCAATCAAAAAAGACTTGATAGGAGATGTGTGAGGTGAATTATAATAGCGGAGATGCCTTTTAGGGTGGTTGATCAAGAGGACTTTCGAGATTTTATTCGTGACTTGAATCCAAAGTACAAACTTCCTAGTAGGCATAAGGTGGCGGCGGCGGTTTTGGAGTTGTATGTTGAAGAGAAGGCAAAAATAAAAAGTGTGATTGAGGGGTTGAGAGTGAGTATTACAACCGACACTTGGACCTTAATTCAAATGATAACTACATGGTCATCACGGCTCATTTTTTGGACACTAATTGGGGGTTACATAAGAGGATCCTAAACTTTGTCCAAGTTACTTCTCATAAGGGTGATGATATTGGAAGATGTCTAGAGGTTTGCTTGAATGATTGGGGCATAGACAAGGTGTTTAGCATTACCGTTGACAATGCTAGTGCAAATGACACCGCTATTGCATACATGAAAAGAAGACTTAAGTCAAATGGTACTCTTTTACTTGATGGGGCTCACTTGCACATGAGGTGCGCTTGTCACATTCTCAATTTGATAGTTAAGGATGGAATGACGGAGCTTAGTAGGGAGATTGATGCCATAAGAAATTGTGTGAAGTTTATACACTCATCCCCGACAAGGTTGGAGTCTTTTAGGGAATATTGTGTCTTGTTGAGATTTGATAGGATGTCAAGTATCCCTTTTGATATTGTCACAAGGTGGAATGCCACATATCAAATGCTTAATAATGCTTTCAAGTTTAAAGAAGTGTTCTCTAAGATGGCCTTTGAGTGTGACTCTTTCATTGCTTACTTTAAAGAGGAGGTCTCGAAAGAGGTTGATGGGGTGACAAGAAAGGCCAAGCGGGTGGGTCCTCTGGAGGTGGATGATTGGGAAAGGTCGGTGAGTTTTGCTCACTTTCTCAAAAAATTTTATGATGCCACCTTGACATTGAGTGCAACCCTTACTCCAACGTCACACTTAATACTTAGCACGGTGATTGCCTTGCAAGTGGAGATAGAAGAACAAATTTCAAATGCCTCTAATGCCACTTTGCAAAGTGTGGCTACCTCAATGAAGCTCAAGTTTGACAAATATTGGGGTGACATTGAAAAGGTGAATCCTATTCTCTTTGTGGCCCAATCACTCGACTCGAGGTACAAATTTGATATGTTGGAGACAAATCTAGAAGAGCTCGGCTATGGATGTGACAAAATAAGGGAGGAGAAAGTAAGGGTTAAAGGTTATGTAACCGAGTTGTATAATGCATATAAGGAGGGAGTGGTCCTTAGTAGTAGTAGTGGTAGTAGTACTAGTAGTAGTGCTACCTCAAATGTGGAGCAAAGATCAAGTGTTGTACTAGATGATGGGGCGGGGGGTGTGATGGTAGATATTGATGTTGCTTCAAGGATGGCAAAGAAGATCCAAAGAAAGAGAGCGGAGGCACAACAAAATGAGATAGCCAATGAAGTGGATATGTACTTCAATGATCCACATCAAAGCCTAACATATGAGGGTTTCAATCTTTTAGATTGGTGGAAAGGAAATTGTGGTCAATATCCAATTCTTAGTAAAGTTGCTAAGGATGTATTGGCCCTTCCTAGTAGCACCGTTGCTAGTGAGAATGTCTTTAGTCTTGGTGGGAGAGTTGTTGATCCTTTTAGAGCTTCCTTAACACCTAAAACGGTTGAGGCTTTAGTGTGTACTAGTGATTGGCTTAGAGGAAAAGAATTTTGTTTCTACAAGGAGCCTACCCTTGACGAATTATGTTTCTACGAGGAGCTTGAACGCGTAGAAAGAAGTAAGTAAACAATTTAATTTCATCTTTTATTTTCTTAGTATTTATTATCTATTAGACTATAATTCAATGTAAATGATTTGTGGTTTATTGTTTTAGACATGGCTAATTTGTTTTAGACAAGTTCAACAACGTCAAAATCAATCACTACCTCCACGACCACGACCACCCATTGTAAAGGGAAGGGCTCAACCATCAACATCAAGGGGAAAATTACAAGTGCCAACAAGAAGGGGCCGAAGAGGTCAACAATCTTCATAAACTTGAAACTTTGTTTTTTTGCTTTTGGTTTGTAACTTAATTATTAAAACTTTGGATTGTAACTAATTTTTTTGCTTTTGGGTTTGTTACTTTATTTATTTTAAAACCTTGGCTACAATACAAGTGGAAAATGTAGCTGAACTGGTATATAACATTTATCAGCAAAACTTTGACTTGATGATTTTACCTGCAACATCCTAGAGATTTCAAACAAATCAATGTACCGATGAGCAACGTTTACCTTTAGAAACTTGTGAGCGTTGCTTTAAGAGACCTTTTACTGCAGTGAGATAACGAAGCAATTCTTTACAGTAGATGTTAAAAAGTTGTTTTTATTGCTGCTAATGTTCGTTCTGCTCTTATAACATTGCAGGTTTGCCTAATATTTTTTTTATTTGGTTGAATCAAGTTAAGCCCATATGGGGGCTGTTACATTCAGTGGGCACGGCCCAATATTAGGTTTTTGTCCAATTGGACCAATATTAGCTTTTTTTGTCCAAAAGCCCAAAAGCCCAAAATTATTTTTGGGATTCCCGATTTGTCCTGAAATATCGAAACTATTTCAGGATTCCCAAAAATTGGGATTCCCGAAAATTTGGTTTGAGATCGGTATTGAAATTAGGATTCCCGAAAATTTCGGTATGGGAATCGGGACAAGGGTTTCGGTATGGGATCCCATACCGAACCACCCCTACGTGAGACCCCATTTTATAGGTCACACGTGGAAATCCACACATTGCCAATTACGTGGAGCCATGTCAGGGCTCACCCATCACGCGAGGCCAAATGGGGACCCACCCAATCACGTGACATCTTTGGCCTACGTGGAGCCAAATCGGGACTCACTCATCGCGTGGGGCCAAACGGGGACCCACCCAATCACATAGCAGTACGGGCCTGTCCCTTGGCTTTAATACCATGTACAATTTTTCAGGTCGACGGGCTGAGGGCCCACTTCAACAACACTGATATTGTCCCCACTTTACCACCTACCCAATCCTTAGGTGTGGGGTTTTATCAAAAAATGTCTCGGTGTTAGTTAGAGTTGGGTAATTCTATATAAATTGTCCTTTCTTCTTCCCTCTGTCCGATGTGGGACAAATTGAGTTCCAACGGCTAGCAATAATTTGGTTCAATTCGTTTTTGACGAGAATCGAACCTAAAACATCTCACTTACAAGTGATGAGAAAAATAACACATTTTTCTATTTTTTAAAATAGTTTGAAAAGAAGTTGCAGATGAGAATTGAAGCTCAAGGAAAGTTGCCAAATGCTAATATATTATACATATTTGCAAAACGAGAAAAAAAAGGCTTTTTTTTATTTGTATACTTTTATTTAACTTATTTTTTTTTATCTTTGACAAAATGCATGGTTTATTATTCAGAGTTTTATTTATTTACAAACCCCATCTCCTATCTAAATTCACTCGCATCTCTATCTATATTTCATCTAAACAAATGCAAGTTTGGTACACACATAAAGCGGGAGCAGGTGTTGTAGCTATCAAATGGCATATGACTTTTTAAGCCGGTATGATACGGATTACTGATTTATGGTCCCCTTGAAAGAATAATTTAACTTCAATTTGTGGACTTTCCCCTCGTATCTCTTTCTTCTCCGTGCTTGGGTTATAGAAGACGAAGAACTTGGGAGTTCTCTCTACAGAATCGACGCTTCGTGTGGGAGCTCTATTATTCCATCCTATTCTTGAGGAGATGAACTTCACTTGATGAAGACTGATCAAACTGCTTCAAGTTGACAAAGCTTCTCAGTTGTGACAGTACTCTAACCATTCTCAAGAAACGGTTAATTAACATTATTTGCATGTTTCAACTAATGTACATTATCCTTGACTAGCTGGATGTCATCGTTCTTACAGCTAGCCAAAGCAAGCACTCAAACATCCATTTGTTAGTTGTGAAAATATTTCTTCAAATGGCTGAAAGGATCATGTGAAGTTTAATTTTAGTGGTTATGAGAAATTATCACACCTGAGCCATGATTTTGAACATTATAAATCACCCTCCCATTTTGGCCTTGTTTACACAGAAACTTTACTTGAAAGGGGTGTGTTATCTATACACATTTTTTTACTTTTCACACACCCTCTTAACCTCTGGCTGTCATAATGAATGAATTGTAGAAGATCCAATGACATAAATTAATAAGGGGTGTGTGAGAAGTAAAAAGGGGTGTGTGAGAAGTAAAAAGGGGTGTGTAAATATCATACCTTTACTTGAAATTCTTGAAATTGGCTTACAATGTTTTTCATTGAGTTAGTTATTAATGAGTACTAAACCACCCCTTAGGCCTTCCACAGTGGTTTAAGCCATTTTCATACCTATATATAAGAAATAGACATCGTGAATTTTATTCGTATGACACTATTATCATAGTTGTTTGAGTTTGATACAAGTGAGTTTTATCTATAATTAACTGTGGGATCTGTCTATAATTTTTCTTTTACCCTATTATA